GGAGCCGGCGCTGGGGAGCGAGGGGAGCCCCCCGGGGAAGGGGGGAAGTGGAGCCCCACGGCCGGGCGGGAAAAGGGATGAGGAAGCAGCGATGGTGGCGGGAATGCAAGGGGCAGGATGGGGTGCTGGCACCCCCGGGCACCCCAAATTCAGTCCCGCCCCCCATGGCCTGGGTGGGTGTTGGTGTCCCCTCTTTGCACCCCATGGTGGAGGGGGGGGACACAGGATTTGTCGAGGGAGCTGATGTCACCCCAAAATACTCGATGTACCCCCAAACCGCACAGGGCTGGCCCCCCCTGTCCCTCTCACATGACACCCCATTGCTGGGGGGGCTCAGGACCTCCCACTGACCGTGGAATGGGGTCTTGGGGACCCTCCTGACGCCCCCACACACCGCGGGGTGGCACCTCGGTGACACCCGTCCCATGGTGTCCCCACCCACCGTGGACTCGGGTTTTGGGATCCCCCATCTCCGTGACACCCCCATCCATGATGGGGTGGGGTCTTGGGGACCCCCATCCCCGTGACGCCCCCAGGCACCGTGGGACGGCATCTCACTGTCACCCCCCCCGTGATGTCCCCACCCGCCGCGGACTCGGGTTCTGGGGTCCCCCCTCCCCGTGACGCCCCCACCCGTTATGGGATGGGGTCCTGGGGAGCCAGTCTCCCATTCCAGCGAGCCCTGGGGACCCCACGAGGTGTCCCCTGTCCGCGGGGGTCCCTCTCTCACCGCCTTGAGCTGCTCCAGCCGGTCCTTCATGGTGCCCCCGAGGGCTGGGGGGGCGCGGGGGGGTCCCCGTCGTCGCCCACCGCCGGGATGGGGGTGTCACCCTCGGTGTCACCGCTCGGCCAGGCCTCCTACATCCAGGCGAGGTGGCGGGTGGCCCCGTCCCCTGTCCCCGAGCCCGGGGCTGTCCCTGCGCTAATCCCCAGTGACGGGCGCGGGGAAGGCGCCGAGGGGAGGGACGGGGAGGAGCCGCCCCTCACCTGGGACACCCGGGGACACCGGAGACGCCACAGGCGACAGCTGGGGGTGGCCCCCGGGTCGCCCCGGGAGGTGACGGAGAGGTGGGGCAGGGATGTGGGGTGGCCCCGGTTTGGAGGCGCTGAGGAAGTCGGTCCCCACGGGGGTCACGCGGCGGCGACGACGTGTCATCCATCCCTCGCC